CCTTTAACATCTATCATAGAACTGATTAACCTTATCCTAGGACATAACATCAATAGGAAACAGTGAATAAAACCAGATAGGTATCCTATTGGAGATAGATATTTGCAAGGAGAATTCAGACTGTTTTCTCAGAGGTGAAATGCAAATTGAATTGATCACAGCTTACAAGTGCATTTACAGAAAGAAAAGACTGCCAGTTAAGCCAGCAAAGGAGGTATACCAAAGAGAGGATTAATGACTAGAGAAAAACTCAAACTGAAAATGCAGCACAAATTATTAACCAAGTTTCATGATTCAAATTCACCACTGTAATGTATTATCAGGGAAATTTAATTCTGGATAATTCTGAATATCTTCCCATTATACCCAGTAACTACTTATTGTTGGTGAAATCCAGAGATGATTGGTTGAAATATGTGAAATACAGATATATGAACTGAGCAGACTTATCTTCTGCAGTCCTAGAAAGACGGCAATTAGCTGAATACAGTTTTGAGATTATAACAGGTGGTCAGGGGACAAGAAAAGACAGGAAGACAAGACTGGACAGCTTTTTAACCTAAAGACAAAATTGAATAGGGATGTAGGTGTTAATATATGGTTATTAAAATTGTTAGAGAGATGCTTCTGCCTGAGTTAAGTTGCAAAAGAGACCAGATGCCAAAGGCAAGAGTACAGATTTATAGTTATCAGTAAATGTGAGGTAGAGATAGAAAGAAACAGGAAACAGAGAAAAGAGTGGAGAGAGAAAGAATGTGACAGAGGGAACTATTAAGTAGAGAAATATCACCAGTTTGTGGATTCCAGTGGTGTCCCATTGTTCTCTTCTCCCGGTCTTCTGGGTAGTGAGGGTTCCAGTCTTGCCAAAGTGATGGTTGCAGTCTAGATCCGTCTAGGGAAGACCATAGCTGATGAAAGGCCCTGATGAAACACAGAGCCCATAGGAGTTTCATTATGCTTAGGCTAGGTAGAAATGCCCCAGTACTTCCCCTGGGGCAATGGATGATGTAATTTTACAATGGATGATGTAATACTGGATAACAGGAAATTTCTTGAGCCTTTGACACCTTCTAAGACATGACAGCTGCCTGTTACCATCAGCACAATTGAGTCCACTATGACAAATTGTGGCCCAACAGCTAAGACATCTCCAGGCCATCCATGAATCATTTAGTACTTCCCCAGAAGGTAGTTATCACAGCTGAGTCATTTGTGTAAGGAGAAAGAAACATCACTTCACCTGAAAGGATTTGCATCTCTCTTTACCTTGTTCAACACCCAGCTTGTAGCCTGAGGTGATGGCTGCAATGAAGGTGAGTTCCTGCCCCCTCAGGGCCCTTTTTATCCTCTCTGTCCCTCCCCTGCCTTTCCAAGGCCTCTATGCATGTCTATTAGGGCTCTCTCTCTCATATGTCAGACAGAGGCTGAGAACTTCTCTTCCTGTGCAGGGCACCGGGGAAAGCACTGAAACTGCCTTTGAGAAAGAGTTACCATTTAGGCAAAAAGCCCTCCTAAAGAAAATCGAGTTCCTGACCTTCCCTTACAAATTCTTCCAAAACTGTATTTATCCCTACAGTGTATTCAGGGAAAGGTGGGCTTTGGTGAGCAGTTGCTTCTCTGCATAGTTTGCTACATTGGACAAAAATCTTTCGGTGATTTTAACAATGTTTAAATTATTAACCCTTTCAATCTCTCACAGTAGGATAGGTTTTAATTATGTTAAATGCTGTGAAAAATGAGAAAATAATTTTTTCTTACATTATTGAATGGGGGCATGGGATAGGTTTTAAGTATGATAAATGCTGTGAAATAAAGGAAAAATAATTTATTCCTGCATTAGAGTGACATACCAGACAAGAATTAACAGACTTCACTAACAGCAAAAAGAACAGGATATTAGGAAAGAATTGGGATTAGAAGGACTGATCTGATGGCATAGGTTGACCAGTGAGCTAATGGAATTTCCACTATTAGAACAATTCATGGGCTAAGCAATACAAAGGTCTGGGTAAAGCTGAAACTAATATTGTTGATATGTGAAACTGATATAGCTGATGTAGCTGTTACAAGTGATAATCCATAAAAAACCTACAGTACCTAGGAAGATGATGTTATAGGGTCACATCAAATGCATTTAAGCTTTCATAACAAGTAGAGGTGGGTGCCTCCTTTGGAACGTAAAATGTCATTCTTTCAAACTTATACAGTGTGTAAAACATACCTTATCTTCATATGATGTTTTCTCAGAAAAGGAACTTGAAAAAATAAAAAAATAAATCTATAAATTCACATTAAAATATCTTGAAGAAAAGATCCCTATAAAGATCAGTTTTCAGCCACATTTTCTAAAGCACTGTATCCAGTCTTCTGTATTTTAACTGAAGATAATTTGATTTAGTCCACTTCATTAAAAAGATGTTTGAAAATTAGTATTCAATAAATCAAGATTTCCAAATTCTTAATAAAACTGTGAAAGTTAGTTTGACTTTGACATTCCAAGTACCAAAATCATAAAGAGATTATTATGCATTTCTCTAAGTTTTTTGCTGAAGAATTAAAAGACTTGCGAAGTTGTATATGCACCAAATACTTGACACAAACCAATTCAGTATGATTGAAGAGATATTCTGTCAGGTTTTGCATTAAAAATGCAAATAAGATGAAAAAGTGTGCAAAGGAGATTAAATGATGACCAAGTGATTTTTTTTCCAAGTACATACTTGACAATATAACAAACTCAATTATTCCTCCCAATCCACATTTCATACTTATATACACATAAAATCCATTGTCTAGCGCCCTCAACGGTTTTCAAAGTTGTTATTTACAGATTTTCAAGTTGACAGTAATGTAGCCATAACTTTTGCTGGACTTCACTTCATTAGTCTGTTCCTCCCTGTGGTAATTTTATTATGTCTTCAACCTGTATTCTAACTCCCACTGCTACAATTAGTCATGAAATTTAAAGCTACCAGATTGTAAAGTTATGCTACCTACTACCTACTACCCAAGGGTAATTTAACCATTAATTACCGTAGCACCAGCTAACATTCCTCCCTTCTAGTGAACGAGATCCTCAGTGCCCATAAACTTTCTATATCCTTAGGTGTGTACTTTGTTGATCTGAGTCCAAATGTCCACACTAATATCACAACAAATAACAGGTCCTAAAAGTACCCCTTAAATTGCCCAGTACTTTTAACAAAAATAAAACAAAAATGGAAGAGCTGGATTAGAAAGACATTATGGAAAACTGACACAGAGAGCAGGACCTCCATGATTCTGGATGCGTGATAAGGGAGAAAGGATCTCTTAAGTGAAGTATCTAAATCAGGACAGTAACCAGTAGCAACAACTTTCTATGTGAGTGTAAACCTTCTCCTGGATTTAGTCATCTCAGCATCCATAAAGAAATGGAGGTTTTTTACCAGGCACTAAAGTATTCCTTAAACAAAGAACCTCACTTATGGCTTAGGCTTCTTTCCTTCTCAGATATTCTTTCCTTTCCTTTTAAAGGATTTCCTGTAGGTATAGATATATATGAAGTTTTGTCACTTGTTTTGTTTAAATATCTGCCATTCCATTAGTGCCTTTTTGCACTACCACACTGGGCATCAGAGGGCCTAGTGGAGCCCTTCTTTTGCAGCATACAGTAGTTCAGGAAAGGAAAGAGAAGTAGACATGCAGTCTTTCAAGTGCATGAAATATCACAGTAGGCGCTGTTTAAAAAGAACTGAAACATTTGTGTCCATTTTAGTCACAAATTTAAAACTCAGCTCCATATGGGCTACTATGAAGAAAATTAACTCAATTTCAGCCAAAGCCACTACAAACACTCATGAAAGTTCAGGTTTATTACTCCTACTGTAATGACTGGCAGGACAACACAGATATTTCCTACTTCAAGCATTATGCTGATGCAAGAGTCTTGGTTCTTACTTTTTCTTTCTTTTTCTTACCCCTTCTCCTCTATTTGTTCTTTCTTAAATCCTCTAGAACCTATCTTGGCATCTGTAGAGCCAGTAGAGGCATATAATATATTGTTTATATGTTGACGATGCTTCTGCAAACTAAACTCATAGTAGACACAAATCCTAGAGGGTTGTGATCTTGCCATTGTTTCTGTGGCAGTAGTGATGCCCAGAAAAGGGGGCAGGTGAACAAAAAACTGCTCAGAGACAGAGTTTTAGTCTATGAACAGCAGGTATTTATTCATTGCGACGTCGGGGAGGTTTACCCGTTCAGGCCAGGTAAAAGCTCCAAAGTGATTCAGTAAAAACAGAGAATTTATACAGTATTCCTTCAAGTTCCTTCAAGGTCCGATGCTCTTCAGCACAGGACGGAATCTTCTTGTGCGAAATGCAGCTTACAAAATATGGTTTAAGGCAGATTAAAAGTGTACAGGGGGGTGTACAGGGGGTAGGGGCCCTTATGGGCCCACAGTCCCAATTAACCCTTCCTGCTTCAGTAGTATTAGACATACTATCATCTATTTGAGCTGGTTTCTTTCCTTTTTCATAGAAACAAAATCTTGCATTTGTTTTAAGGTAGTACATCTCTTCTACCAAAACTCCCCTTTACCTACATCTTTCTTCCTTCCCTCTGTTGTATACAGTATATATATATATACATATAATATATATAAAATGCAAAACTATCCATTAGCTGATACATTATGGATGTTTCATAGTTTGTACTAAAAAGGTCTTGATTTTATACAAGTAACAAAAATGTCAGGAGATGGTAACGAGGACACTTCATCCCTGAACACAGAAGGGTGTCTGAAAACATATGAGGGTAAAAATGTTCATTAGGCAGGAGAAAAAGAAAACAAATTTCATGCTCTCCAGGTACCTGAGCCCAAGATGCTTGGTGTACTAAGGAATTGAACTTAGTCTTCATTGCCAAAGAACTAAATCATCAAACTGCAGGAAAGATGCAAATTTCATCTTTACAGCAGAAAAAGACTTAGAAAAGTACTAAGCACATAACTTCCACTGACCCTCTACCACAGAACACCTAATTTTTTCATATCACATTTTACTGCCTTATATTCTTATTCAGAAATTTGTTTCCTCTAAATTTGGAGGCTCCTGTACAAGGTCATTCATTCAGGTCAGTCTGTAGTTGGATGTTACTTATTAGGAATTTATTTTTCATTCTGTCCCAATGGGGTTGTTTTCTGTTTGACTGCCCATTAGCATTGACATTTCTTCCCTAAGGCTTTTTCTCCTTCTTTTAGAGCTTGATTGGGAAAGTTTCATGGAGTTTATGCAGCTTTTATCTCAAGGAAAATGTTCTGATTTATTTTGTGGTTATTCTGCTGCTGACATTTGGTGACATTTTCTCTTTTGTTGACAGCTTTGTATGCCATTAGAGAGTAGGCTACTCGAGTGAAGGTGTTTAATTTGCTTTGTCCAGCCTTTATCATATCCAGCATATAGAGTACTCTTCTTCTTTCATTCCTTCATTAGCTTTCCCCTCTGATTGCTTCTTTTCTGCACCTTGCTTTCCTTTGTGCCCCCTGTGTGAAGTATTTTTTCATTTGTCACCAGTTGAATATGTCTTTGCTGATTTTTTTTTTTTTTAATAGTTCAGTATTATAGCAGAACATTTTGGAGCTATTTACTTTGAAACTGTAGGTAAGCAAATCTTGTAATATTAAGATTTGGAAGTTCCTGTTTCAAAAGGTCAAACACCAAGTCTTTTACTCTTTTTGTGTCTCCTGCAACATGCCAGAGCTGAGTGATTACTAATCCTTAGACAAAATACTTAGTGCACTGACTAAAATCCAAGATTTCTTTTTTTTTTCTAATAGCTGCTACACAGGTGAATCAGAAGAAAAGATTTCTGTGCTAAAATGAATGTGACTAGAACTACAGCTTCACTGCTAATGGCAGGAAATACAAAATACTACGAAAGACCTTTCAAGAATGATCTATCCCTCAGTCACCAGAGATTAAATACCTGCCAATCTGCAAATAGCATTGTCTTACAACTGTGGGATCATAAACAACTGATGTTTATAACAGGGCTTTTAGAAGCTGTTAAAGTCTGAGCACTAAACAATAAAAGTAATTGGTTAATTGCAGCTCAGTTATTGAAAATTGGAAGCTTTAAGGTTAAGTTTTCCAGAGGTGATAGACTCTTTCTTCTTAATCAGTGCTAGATTTCAGAATAACTTTGGTGGTGAGAGGGAAGATGGCAATTTCAATTAGCAGTGCTAAAGAATAAAAGGAATTATGTTTTCTGAAAGCAAAGACTTAGGCACATAGCTATATTCTGGACCATGTAATTTAATTTTTAACCAATGAAGTCATGGTTTTGCAGCTTCAACTTTCACTCAGTTCAGAGCAAGTTGTCTCGTGATGTGTAAGAGAAAAAAAAAAACCAAAAAATTTGGAAAAGAACTAGATTTCCCACGTGCTTAAAATTTTACAAAATTTTCCAGCTCTTGGCAAGGTGGTAGCTGGGGAAGCCATAGGGACACTTCTGTGGGAGGAGGTCAGGGGCTGCCCAGTGCCAGACGCAATCAGCTCCAATGGGCCCACAACAGCACACAAGTGAGCACATCAGCCAAGCTGATGACACCTCCATGAAAACACATTTTAAAAAATTCATAAAATGCCAGACAGAGAGGGTGGGAAAGAGTCAGAGGAGAACAAGCTTCAGGGAAGAACAGATATCCCTGGCAGCATGTGAAGGGTCCATGCTGGAGCAGAGGAGGAATGAGCAATACAGAGGAGCAAAGAAACTGCCATGTACTGATTGTAAATTCCTGCACCACTTGGAGCAGGGTTAGAAGAGTTAAAAATAAAAGAATGATGTCGAGCATGGGATGGGAGGGACAGGGGAGGTTATTGCTTTGACATTTATCTTTTTGTTTCCCACTACCTAAATTAATAAATATATATTTTAATTAGCAATAGATTACACTGATTTTTCCAAGTTGAGGCTGTTTTGCTTGTGACAGTAATAGTAAGAAATCTCCCTGCCTTTATCCTGATCCATGAGCTTTCTCTCTTCCATTCTTCCTCTTTTCTCCCCTCTCCTGCTGAGGTGGGGAAGTGAGCAAACAGCCAGGTAGGTGTTTGACTGTTAGCCACCACAGCATGCTGCAAGAAACTCAGAATGCATAGCCCAGACTCACACAAGGTATGATCTGAATGTTGGTTTTATACAAAAGTGAAATAAAATGAGCCATTTGTCTTACCTAAACACAGTCTTTCACTCACATCAATGGATCTGATAATCATTTCTCAATGAAGACTCAAATCTTCAGCTGAGCAACCAACAATCTCCTTTTCCTAACCATAATCAGAACGCTTCAATTTCCTAAAATTTTTTAGAAGTTACACATCTTTCCATGCCTATCATTTTACAGCTCAAATAATGAGGATAAAAACTGAAACATTTCTTTATGCAGTAGGTTTATCCATTTTCTAGAATACTACAGTTCTAACCAAGTGTAACTAAATTTTAAAATGTGTGTCTGTGTGTCGCCTACTGTGGATTTACAGGCCTAATAGGCTATGAAAACAGATTAGGAAATTGAGCATGCTGCTCAATATTTGAGCTCTGTGTTTATTTCTGTTGCTTGTTTGCTTGTTTGTTTAAATAATTTCCTGAATTTTAATCATTTTTATGTGTTTACATATTTTGGGTTATTTTCTGTGCTTTCTCAGTTCCTGGAATACTAATGGCTCTGACAATGACAGCACCCATCTGCCTTGTGCTCCTGTCTGTAGCACCAATGGTAATACTGCATGTCTGTCAGCATCAAAATAAATCCCACAATAGTCTTGTTCAGTCAGATTTTGACACAGACAGCTGACACTGAAAACAAATGCAGTCTGGTTTTGACTTAAACAATAATTTCTACTAGAATGGATATTTTCCTACTTGTGTAAGTTCACTTTTTGAATAACAGCTTACCTTTTGTGAAGTCATCAGCAGCTGAAGAAGGTACAGGTGCCAATCTCAGTCTCCTTTGCTGGTTGTCAATGTTTCTGGCATACATAAAAGAAAACAATCTCTGTGACACTGCGGAATATCTTTTCTACTCCAGCAAAGTGGAAGAGAAAGGAGGAGTTGAAGAGTTCATACCTTGGGCCTTCTAGAGAAATGAAGATACACTACCATCCAACAGGACATTGAAAGCATCAGGAGTTACAAAATCTGTTAGAAGTTCTGCTTCTACAGTTTCATGACAAGGCTAAGAGGTTATTGCCCAAGTTTGTCCCATCCACTGATAATTTAATATTCATTTGCTGTGGGGCAAGGTCCGATATAGATGATCTCTCCCTATGATTTGTCCCTATATATAATTTGTTCATGTGGATCATTAACATATTCATAGTTGCAGTCATGTTACCTAAGAGCTATTTGCTACTCAGCCCTCTCATCTAGAGGAGTGGCTAACAATGTAAATCTGTATTGATATATTTCTCCCACACAAACATTTCTTTATACCTTCACGTACCTTCTCACTCTGAAGATGAACTCTGAAATAATGCTGTTCCCTTTCATACTAGTCTGTGTTACAAAGTTGCTCCTGGATATATGATCCCATGAAGTTCAAAGACCACAGAAGTATAGTGAAATGTCCAATACTAGTGAAAAAAAAAAATAACTGCAGTGAAAAGGGACTTTATAGAGATATTGTGAGGACAAATGGATGACTGGAACATACAACGTGCTTTACACTCTCTTGAGTTTTAACTTTGTTTCTGTTTTCGCATGGGAAGTACAAACTGTATCCTTGCTACCTTTAAGTGTCATTTTCGAGATCATATAAAGCTAGATAAAGAACTTATAAAGTGCACTTTTGGAACAGGTTAATTCAGGCTTCATCCATTTCAAGTAACTGCATTCTCTCACTATAAATCATGATTTATAGCTTTTCCTATTAAACCTTAAGGTTTCCACAACAGCTGCCTGGTTTTAATTGCACTGCCTTTTCCAAATTAAAGCATTACAACTTGCTTGTTTTCAATTAATGTATGTTTAAACTGATCTTTAATTTATCCTATTATTTTTGTAATGTTAATAAAAGCAGTCATACTAAAGAAATATTCACTGTTTACATATTTATTATGCCAAGGGTTGTTCTAGGAACAATTAATCACAAGAATTTTCACCTTAAGGTACTGCTTAAAATCTGTTACAATTAAATTGCCACAGGTAATGGAATTAAAAAAAAAAAAATTAACAGAATTAATTTCTGTGATAATTCCAATAAAACTGTGTTAGACTGGAAGGCATTTTAACTGTTTGGAAATATAGAATTAAATCTTTCCAAAGTGAGTAAAATTCTTTTAAGCCAAAAGTTGATAGCTTAAAAGGGTAATAGGTTTAAATCTCCTCTGATTTACACCCTGAGTGTGTTTATATCACTACAATCTGAGGAATACCAATGCAACATCAGTTACATTAATAGGGTTAAATGAGCTAAAAAGGTCAGATTAATATTTAAGAATGAGTATAAATTTGGTCCAATATTTCTTAACTTTGGAGATTTATTAAAAAACCCATAGAATGCTACCCTCTGCTACGTCATCTATAGAATAATATTTCCTCGACCAGAGCTTCAACAGATTTATATTACTTCTGGGGCACAAGAGAACATATTTCAATTTCAATTCAAGGATAAAATTATCTATAAACTGTCTTTAATCAGCTGGCATTCCTGTGCTTAAATAAGAGAATAGCAGAGTATAACAATATCCTTGGGATCATATAAGACAATGGCTTGATGTGCTTTTTTTGACTGCATCTGAGCCGGATTAAAGCAGTACTGTTCTCCACTCCTCCTCAATCTCTCCTTTCCTTCCCATTGACATCCCCTCAGGTCTATTGGCTTAGCCTAGGTGTCAGCACTCCATATTAGCATAAGATAATAGTAGGGGTGTTTTCTAACCCAGATAACTTTACAAAACCAAATTAGCAGTGTGAGTGAGTGGGCTCCTAGGTTGTCAGATATAAATGCTGATAACTCTTGGAGGTGATGACATCATAGGAGAAGCTATGAATCAACTTTTTTAACCAACTGAACTCCACCTGGAACAACACATCTGAACTGCAAACTCAGAAAGATTATGAGTTTGAAAATAGCT